GCCAACTGCCAATCACGCTGCTGACCGATTTTCCTACAGCGAAAATATGATGCTTTGCCTTGTCCCAGAATGGCGCTAGGTTAAACTTGATTGAATATCTGATACTGAGTAGGAGCCAGGCCGAAACGACTTAATCTGCATCGTCTGCATTTCCTGCCGATGCTGCATATCGCATCCTTCAGAATGCAGTTAAGCGTACAACAGGGTGTGGGAGAGTGCAGCCATTTGTGATGCTCAGTTTTGGAAATTAACTGGAAAAGAGGTAAGTCCCAGCGGAGAACATGCAATCGGTGTCCGTGTGAAACGATTGAATTTGCACTTAGTAGATCATTCAGTGTTCCCATCCGGTCCAGTAGTTCTCCTCCAGTACTCGTTTGCCTAAACTGATTCGTCGACGTCTTTGAGGTCAGCATAGGCGAATTGCACGTCGACTGTTTTGCGATATATTCATTATATAATTGTAACAGACTCTTTCAGCAAGATTCAGGAGAGTGCAGACCGATAATTAAAGCATTCCTTTGCGTGACTGTTTTTGAGTATGACCAATTTTCGTTCCTTTGCAAAAGTTATAGTTGCAGTTTATGGTAACAATTTACAACGGCTACTCGCATCCTCAACACTTTGTTGCTCGAATACCCGTTTTTGGGATCAATTACGATGTTTTCGACTACAGAGGAGCTAAGACAACTGCTGAGGTAAGTGATTAATTCGAATGGGAATGTGCTCTACTGATTTTATATGTTTAGGTCTTTCCCAGTTTTAACGCCGATCAGATCAGTTATGTAGTTCCCGGCCCGTTCGATCTTATGTTCAAAGCTACGGTTCCCCCGCTGGGATATTCTTCTTATTTCATTTCGATCAAATCTGAAACAGGCATGAATGATACGGTCACTGATGAAAGAAATTTTGTTCAAAGCGTGTACTGTTCAGGTAGGATTCACAGTTTAATCAAGCAGATGCAACCAACGACTTTTGCCGCCGATTCACTAAACTCTGATTTATTGGGCTAGCGATTGATTTCAGAAACAATGATCACAGAAACTGACATATCTGCGTTAATCAACATAAGCGACAGGGCCGTTCACTTGGCGAAAACGACGTTAAAGAAGATACCATCGAATTCAACGGTTATAGAAACGAGGAGGGTTCATATTCAAATTCAAATTCGCTGCTTAGAAGCCGTTGATTCTGACAGTACTTAATTTCAATCATAAGATCATGCAATAAGATCTGTAGCATTAAACGTGAATTAGTACAGTTTAAAGTAAAATTAAAATGGCAAAAGACGGGAAATTAAACACTTAGACCGGCCTGTAATCAGCAAAAGGTCGCATCGGAGGCAACATGCCCGCCAGTCTTCGAGGTTTATAGCCTTTTACCTCCAAGCGCGGCCTTCCCGACTCCTCATATCATCTTCCCATCTTCGTGGTAGGCGACCAAGCGGACTAGTCCATCCGTAAGAGTACCAGTCGACAGTCATCGCCGACCATCCCCGTCGGTATGTCAATCTTCCTGTAGCTTTACATTCCTGCTTTCGACGACGACGTCCTTTCCTACCAGTCGGTGTCTGTTCACCATATTAGAGATGTGGTCGAGACGTGAAACTCCCAGCATTCTTCTTTTCATTACT